ATGTTTGATATAATCGGGAGAGGGTCTCCCTTGGTATTCTAAGAGCTGGAAGCTCTTACTGGAAAACAATGCCTATTTCTTTTGTTTTTAAATAAAGTTAAGTTTTATTGTTTTAAAAATCTGGTCTGCTTATTTATTGGAAAGGAAAGGCATTACAGAGACCATGAACGATCTCCTGCCCACGGACCTGAATTAATGTACCTACTGCAGGTGACTTGCATTTTTTCACGATATTTCGCGTTATACAATGAGCTGTAGCCGAAATCTATAGATTTGACACGATTTATTGACTTAACGGACATCAATATGAGTGGTAAAATCAAATAAAATTGAATTACTATATTGACCAGTACAAAAAAGTTTATTGACATTAGCTTACTTACTCCTGATACAGCATTAATTTTTTAACCGTTCTCGAAAAAAAATCTTAACTCGAATTCACAATAAACGCACATATCCGTCAAATTGACAACACTGCCAACCTACAGAAAGAATTTAGGGGAATTCCCTAGGCATAACTTTTGAATTTCTCTCAACTGAGTTGTCATGATTAAAGTGGGGTTGCAACCTGTTATATTTATTTTGAAAATGGGAGAAATTTCCAAAAGTTCAGTTCGATCGAGATTTACGGTAAGGATTCGAGGGCCCCCTGAGCTTGAGGGCCCCGGGGCGCTGCCCCGCCTAGCCCCTAGGTAGCTACGCCACTGATGTAGACTATGATTATGTCGACTATGATTGTTAAAACGTTTGCAAGGGTGCAGACATAAAATGTAATGTTTATCAATACTGTTCATTATACACATTACGTAAGTTGTTATTCTGAAAATAGACGCTGTTTGCAGAACATTCTTTACATTCTCCCTCCTCTGAATGTTTAGAAATTCCCGATGAAAGATTTCTGTTTCGTTTAGAGTGTTAATAATTTTAGTGTTCTTAAATGTTTAAATGTTTTTTAGAAATTAAAGATAGCAATACCAATATTTAAAAATTTGTTCTCCTCAGATCCTGCCACCTGTATTGTGCTCACGGCTATACATTTCGAGAAGGCATCAAAAGGAAGACACATTGTCGCTTTACTGAAGGTAAATGGACGAAAAAGTTCGAACAATGTCAACGTAAGTAATGCTGCAAAATATAGTTGTTTTTTCTGTGGCTTCATGATGTCGTAACCTTTATAAAGTAGTTTTGAATTTGGAGAAAATAATGGATTATTGATTGGATCTAAATATAATTTTTAAGTTTCAAAAATTAAAAAAAAAAAACTTTAAAATAAACGTTCTACGCTCGAATCGCCTTTAACTTTTTTACGGAACCTTAAGCAGGGTTCCGCTTGGCATTTTATTTTAAATAATTTCGTAAAAGCAACCGAAGTAATAAGTAAATAATGGATTATTAATTGGATCTAAATATAGTTATAAGTTTCCAAAGTATAAATAAATAAATAAAAAATTGTTTACGAAATATTCTACTCTCGAAATCTTTTTAACTTTTTGACAGAACCTTAAGTAGGAACACCATTCGAGAACAGCTGCTCTACACTAATGCTTTTTCTTAACAATCGCTACATTCCCCGGATAAGTAGAGAGTTAACTCTAAGACAATGCGCAGAACTAGGTACCAAAATAGAATGCAGACCTCAGCAATATGCGTCTCGATCAGTGGTCGGAAAAACTATATTATTTTTGTAGTGTACTACAACTACTTTATTACAAATGTAGTTAACTAAGACTACTTTTTTTTTAAACTTAGTGACTACAAACGATTTTCGAAATATAGTGACTACTTCACTCTTTAAGGAACCGAACTTTGTTGGAGAAATTAATTTACAGATCATCGCCAATAGCCCATTTTGCAGCTCTAGTGCGACGTAACTGAACAACAACAATAAATTAATTTACACATTATGTTCAAAATGGTTTTGAATAAAAATTGGCTTAAAAATGAAAAATTATTTAGAAATATTTATTCTTATTTACGTAAGCCAGTTCGTTATTGTAAAACAATTTTTTTCTTTTAATCTTCCAATTTTAATGCCCTTCTTGACAGCGAGTATTTAACTTAAGCTATACTAGGAAATTATCAAATAATTGCAATTTTATTAGGTGTTTAATACTCTATTATTTCCTCTAAGAAATTAAGTACATTGAAAATATGTTTCCTTTATTTGAAATAATATAATTTTTTCAAGAGTGTACATTCGCATGTGAAAGTGTGATTTAAGTGATAAATAACACATTATTCATATTAGCTAGCTTAAATATTTGTCATACGTGGCACGAAATACGCAGTTCTTGTTAACTGAGGTCAAAGGAGCATTTTAAATTGTGTGAAGAGGAGATTTGTACCCATCAAATTCGAAAAATTAGTTGTGTTAGAACCCTGCTCTTATACTAAACTTACGTTAAAAGTAGTTGCTACATACTACTGTTTTTTGTATAGCACTACTCACTACACTACTTTTAAAAAATGTGGCACACTACACTACGAAAAAAAGTAGCGACTACAGTAGTTTCCCTACTTGCAGTGTGCTACTGCCAAACACTACTCACTACGCTACTTTTTTAAGAAATGTGGCACACTACAATACAAAGTAAGAAAAAAGTAGCGGACTGTAGCAAAAAAAAGTATCGGGAAGTACTGGATGCGACTACAGTAGTTTCCCTAATTGTAGTGCTCTACTTCCAACCACAGATCTTGCTGTTCTATTGAATAACGATGTAACTTTTATGTATATATAAATAGCTTTTGTTAATTGATATAAATTTTTATTTCAGCATTTATTGATTGTACGGTGATACTAGAAGAGCCAGGAACACTTTCTTGCACGACACACCATTTGAAACAAGGAACAACATGTACTATTTCATGCAACCGATCTAGCAAAGAAGAAAGCGTAGAAAAACAAAAATATACTTGTACAAATGATGGAAGATTTTCTCCTAGCCTTCCACACTGTGCCAATCAAGAAGGTATGTAAGGGTTTTTCGAATACGGGCAATATTTCTATCTAGCAAACTAAAAAATAAAGCTTTTTGTCACTAAACGTAGGCAACGATGGTCAATTGGTCCACCGAATTTAATTATTATTGTTTAATATCAGGGACTAATATAGGGGCCTTTATATCTATGGTTAATATTAAGGGGAGATATAGCACCATGTATGTATGCAGTATATTAAGCAAGAATTTCTTCATTTTAACACTATATATCATACTATTATATATATACATACATAGTTACAAATAGTGCTTAAGTGTGCGCCCCTAATTTGTCTAAAATAATTCGATCCTCGAAAAATCATCGCTTCGCTACTTCATTCCTCTGCTGGATACCGTCACACCATCGTTCTGAATAATTCTCACGCACTTGCCTCCCAATTACATATAGTGGATTGAAAATTCAAGTTAATTAAAAAATACAAAAAACATGGAGAGAGGTAAAAAAATGTATAGTGATTCACACCCAAGTCAAAATTTTTGATGGTTTTCCATTGATGGGCCAACATAATTTTGAAGATATCCATCAATAATTTCCTCATGAACTATTATATTTTTGATAGTAACCAACATAAGTAACCATCACCCCAACGTCGGAATTCGGATTGATTTCTGATGCCCCAGCAAAGGAATAGCAACTAGCTTTGATGGTTATGTTAAACCATCAGAAATTTCCATAAATAGTTTCTTAGAAATCCAATGTTGGGATGATCATGAACAGCTATCATCCCCACGTAGGAATTCGAACTGATTTATGATGGGCCAACATAAAATCGTTTTGATGGATTCGATTAAAATTGTGTAAATGTTTGTCTGTGAAAAACTCAAAATTTTTCTAACCAATTGGAATTATTATGGCCATTAGTAATTATTATGACCGTTAGTAATTTCATGATCATTTTTTAATAACAAATTAGGAAAAGTAATTTTTGTTATTATAGAATTATCTTCAGATGAACGAGTTTCACAATTGTGTAATTCGTTGAAAGCGAAAAAAAAAAAACATGTTAGTAGGAAAATAACAAACAACCTTTTTGTGTCTAATTTTGTAGCATTTAATTCGTCTGCACTAAGTGACAAGCATTTTTAGGGTTAAAAACTTGAACCATAAAGATTCGCATCGAACCACGTTAAAATCTGATCATTGGAACAAAAGTTATTAAGGTGTCCTCTTTTTTTAAAATTTATTTCATTAATTTTGAGCACTATACAATGACGTTAATGATAGCAATTTCACGAAATGTTTTATCTTTATCAAAAGCAAAGAGATGTCCAAGTCAGAAGTTGAACTAGATCGGTTGTTCCTCTATCATTCAATCAATATCCGTTTCCACTATTCCTATTGGATGACTCGTATTCCTAATAGTAACTGTAACTGATTGACCATTTGTGGATCACAAGTGAAGTGACGTCAGCTTAGACATCTCTATATTTCATTTTGATGTTAAGAGTGTTTTGATATTCAGTAGTTTTTGCCTACTTCAATCTAATTTAGCTAAAAATTATATTTATTTTAAATTCTAGGCATCGATGTAGTGAAGCCACCGTCTGTTACGCAGCATCGAGATGTTATATATCCAGATAAATATCCAAGTTCTATAGAATCAGATTATACTAATTAGTTAAAAAATTGTTGTAATTTTTTCTCCACTTGTCTTGTATAGAATGCTATTAATAAACGAATAAGTGAAATAGTGTTCTAGTTTCCTATGTTTGTTTGTTGTTGCTGTTACACATCCCCCTGGAGAAGGAAAGCCAAGACTAGGTCCAGAAGGCCCCGTCGCGTCAGCTCCCCATATATCTGCATAAAGTTCCGATCAACCATCAGCTGCTTAAAAGAAGCGCCAAGGCAAAAAAGAAGGTGATCAGGACTAGCAGGAGCAAGGTTGGAAAGTCTTCTCCCCATTTTGAAACCTTAAACACTTAAGATGGCCACTACGAAATCTGGCCATGGCCGATTGGAAAGGCCGAGGGTCACATCATGTTAATGATAGGCCAGGGCGGTAGCCAGCACACCACTGATGGGATGGAGCATGGTGCCACACTGGAAGCAAACGGTGTTTTCTCAGGGAGTGGATCTCAGTGGGAGAAAGACGGTTCAAACAGTCCATAGGAAGATCACAGCCATTCTTGGCTGTCTCATTATGTTTGTTTGAAACTTAAAATTGGCGGTCGAAATGGGCTATAGGCAACGTACAGCAGATGTCTCTACCTATGACAACAGTTTGCATGCTTTCACCATTAGCGTGCAGATAGTCATAGAAGAAGGAAGTACGTTAGTTTAAGTCTTGATTTTCAAACAGATTAAAAAAATTTAAGTTAAGAAACTATATGGAACTAAATACTATATTGAACATAGTTCTAAAAAAACCGTCATGGAAATTTAAAAAAATACTTTTCACAATTAAATATGAAAAGTATTAAGAAAAGGGAAAACATCTTAGTACATTCATATACAACTGAGAAGAGGAGAGGGAAAAGGGGAGGGTTAAGACATCTTCTGCCCAGATGGCGTATTCGAGCATAGCAATCGAGAATATTAAATTATAAATTAGTGAATGCAATTTTTTATTTCCCATTTCAAACGCTTACTTATAGCTGATTAACAGTGGAGTATAAATATGGTTTTCAAATTAATTTTCAGATAATAAATAACCCTCCTAAAAAAAAAAAAAAAAGAGCGAGACAGAAAAATTTAAGAGTCAAACCCTTTTACTACTAAACTTGTTTTACAGAGGTGTAAATTATTAAAAATTATATGTTGATAAGAATTTTCATAAGTGAATATATTTTAATCAAGAAATAAAACTAAATGACTTGGAAAATTTATTTTCCATAAAAAAACAACTTAATTAGCAGTTTGTTCTCTTTTCCAGGAAAGTATTAGCACTATACTCGGTTTCAAAAGCATAAATATTATGTCCCAGTCCTGAGGCTTTACTTAATGTACATAAAATTGCAAAATATACCAAATATTGCATAATATTCATAAAATTAATACAATATACTCTAGATATCTCAAAGTTGAAGGGACGTTAAAAAAACTTCGAGACAGCCAGTTTTCGAGATAACAAGTTCAGAACTAAATATGTTTTAAAAAATAGAAAAATATATTCTTAGGTGGTACTTTAAAAAGTAGAGTCATGAAACATATAAATAACTACTAATGAATGTTTATGTATTGATACTTGACTACAAGTCTAAATCAGGGTGCATAGCCAAATTATTCAACAAAAAATAGCACCTTTTAAGCACTCAAAAAATATTTTTAAGTACTTTATAATAAGGTAAAAAAAAAACATGATTAGGCAGGATTGGATAGTTTTTGACAATCAACGTTTTATCTTGTTTTAACCGTCATATCAAAAAAAAAAAAATCTTTTGGCATTGTTTTTAACAATTGTCAAAAATCACGAAATTTTGAATCATGTAAAATGAATGACGTTTTCATACGCTACGGATTGACAATAAGCTGAAATAGATTGGGGTTGAATTAATTGTGCAAACGTTGAATAGAACAATGTGAACTGTGTCTTTTTTATAATTCGAAGCGAAAATCAACACAGTCAAGGAAAAATCTCATTTTGCAAAAGAGAAAATTAAGCACATTTTAAAAACACTCAATGAAAAAAGCACCTTTAAGGGCTTTTAAAAAACGAAAATAAGCACCTTTAAAAAATGCTATGCATCCTGTAAATGCATTAATGATAATTTTTTTTTAAAAGACAAAAATAATCATGCATTAGAAAATAATTGGTTTACAATAAACTTACATTGCAATTTTTTTGAAAAATTCATTTTCTATTTCGTAAAATATTCGACATAACAAGATTTGGAGAAGAAACTCTTCGAAATATGAATTCTAATTAACATTATGTAGATATGTAATGCCAAGGGGAAAAATACTTTTTTGACATAATAAGGTTTTGGAGACATCAATAGTATACTGCACATAGTAAAATTCTGCAATTTTTTAAATATAAATGGTGTTGCGAAACTAATCGTTGCTACTGTAAAGGATGATATAACTTGCCAAAACAAACAACTTCCACAGTTATGGATAGGAAAGCAAAGAACGAGCAGCAAATGAAAATGGAGGATAAAACAAAGATGAACAGTAAAGAAAAAAGATTTGTTACTGAAAATTGGAGAAAATGAGTGCTTGCCGACATGAGCTTTTTCAATGTCGACCTCGTTTTGGTGAAACCTTTCAAATCAGTTGACATGATAGCCCTGAAGTTCGAATCTGCACATTTGGTTTCAGATTGAGGTTTAGAACACTTGCCTGAAGGTTTGGTGTTCAGAAATTTAAAAAAAAACTTGTTTTACCCAACTTTGCAATTTCACAAAGGACATATTAAATTTGCAGCTAAATTGCAAATAAAAATGTATTCATATAAAAAGTTATAAACATAATAAAGAACAAATTCTTTCAATTTTAAAGATTGATAAATTTGAATAAGCTCTCAATCAATTTCAGGTCGCTTCTTCGAAAGTTACTTATCGATTTTCAACAGGATTTTTAATATTTCAATATGATCAATATAATATTATTACAACACGCAAATTTTGAATCTGAATTATCACTTCTTGAAGAGCTTGAAACAAAAAAAGATCGTGACTTTCAAAACCCTTTTTTAAATTCGTGACTTTCCCGATCAGTAATCACACTGAATGGTTTAGCTAGCAGTTAAAAATATTATTTTCATTCATTATTCTTTGGGAACTCGGTAATATCCTCATTGTTACAAAAGCATATTTTTAATAATTATTCTTCAATAAAAATGTGTTGATAGTATTTGTCAAACGTAACAGAATGTGTTAGTCTATTGAGATATCGTTTTTAATTGAAAACAGTAAGTGATTGTATATTTTTCAGTAAAATTATAATGGAGTATTGGAGATACACACAATTTATTTTGTTCACTGAGATGATAATGGAGAATTGAAGACATGTATAATTTACCTTGTTTAATAAGATTTTAATGGAGAATTAAATTAAGAAATGTAGAACTTAGAAAAAAACTCATACAAACATATTTGTGATTGATAAATTATTTAATCTCATATTTTAATTCTATTTTAAAAAAAAATCTAAAATTTAAAAGTTCAACAGGAAGTATTTTTTATGACCTAGCATCTTCTTCAACTGGTTTAGCTTCTTCTCCAATTTTTTCTGCATTCACGGAAACCAGTGTTGTGGGTGAGGATTTTATCTTGAAAAGAACAGGAATATTGTCCAACTTAGGATTTGACTTTTGCAAAAAACGAATCCATGATAAAAGGGAGTCTTTACTGGATGTCCCTGTACAGCACATTGCCATAATAATGCCGTCTTCTTGTTCATGTACAGAAGAGGGAGCTAAAACCAATTCTTTAGGCTTAGGTTCGCCAAACATAAATAAAGACAAATTTGTAACATCTGAAAAAGAAAAACTCCGTCAAAATTATTCAAAAAATATTATTTTTCCTTAAATATATCATAAGGCGTCCCTAAAATAGCCAAAAATTTAGAAAGAAATATTAAATAAAAACAGAAAGAGATGGAATAGTATAGTTAGCCATGTCTTGTTCAAGAAACTAAAATATTTATTAACACAAGTTTTAAATCCACTAAAAATTTTTTTTCTAACGGATGGTGCTGATAGCTGAAAAAAACTATAAAATAATGTTTTAAAAATTACTATCATTACAAGCAATAACGTTCAGATATTCCTGTCCATGGACAAAATGGGCAAATGCCTAAGAAAATATTTCAGTTTAAATAGCCCAACATGCAACAGAAAATAGTTTTTTACATTTATCTCCACTCAGTAGTATCAAGCACTATCTATTGATGAACTTTGTAATTAAACTGAAACCTAATGAGCATAAATTCTTCGTTTTCCTGTGCAGAAAACACTAATTTGCAAATTTCTATCGCATTCCATTTTTTCAAAATAGTCAGTTACTTTTGGGACACTTAGTACTATTAAACAAAAAAATACAATAATAGTTAAGTCACTATTTTCAACTTAAACTTGAACTGTGATGTAGCTAGGTAAGGACAAGGGGGAATAAATGTCTTTGAGAGCATGCTGAATGTAAAAAAAAAATTTGTTAGAAAAATGAGCCATTTACTGATATTAATTGGAATATATATAAGCTCACCGGACAAAAAATTAGTCACCCTAGTTCACAAACACCTATGTATCGTTAGATTTCGTTATATGATGCAGCGTTCAAGTGAGGTACTTAATTGCGTGTACTGAAGAGATCAAAGGCAAGTAGCTATCAATGAGATACTTTCGTTTGAAACGGAAGTTGTGTGTAAATATGGATAAGCGTAAGGATGTGATCGAGTGGCAAAAAGGAGCAATTGTGTTTGGCCATGCCCATGGTCATGACACAATTGCTGCTTGTCGGAGACGTGCTTTCCGACTTGTTAATCAAAATTGCTTCCAAACCTCACAGGAATTGCTTCAGTTAGTAAATGAAGGTCTATCCCAACCTGTTAGGGAGAGAACATTGTAACTAAAACTGCATGCAATGTACATTTCGAGTCGAACATCACGTAAGAGGCCATTGCTCTAACAGGCACATAAAGCTGCGCTACTTCAGTGGGCTAGAAGCCACCGAATGTTGTCAGTTGCTGACTGGTGGAATGTAATATAGCCCGATGAATCATGTTTTTACCTTTATTCAAAAGACGCACGTCATCGACTGCAACGAAGAGTAGATGAAACATTTCATTCTGACTGTATGCTAGGTCAGGCTCAAGCTGAAGATGGGTCTGTCATGTTTTGGGGTCGTTTTTCTTATTATGGATTGGGCCCCCTCACTGAGGTGGCCACTAACATGAACCAACATGTTTAATTTAGCATTCTGGATTATTTGATATTGTCTTTCAGTCAAGATCTTCATGAAGAGAATGCTGCCGATACCCCTATTTTTCAAGATGACAACAGCAAAGTTCATGGGCTGGAAGAGAATACGACTGGTTTCATGAATACTCAGACACTCAATTACATCTCGACTGGCCTGCAAAATCACCTGACTTCAACTCCATTGAAAATTTGTGGGACATATTGGAATAATGTCTAAAACGTCGAAATCAGCATCATCGAAATTTGGTGGATTTGTGTAATCAAATCCTCAGCGAGTGGCTCAAACTGGATTCGATGTACCTCCAAAACCTTGTGGACTCACTTCCTAACTGATTCCAGGATGTTGTCGAATCCAAATGCTTGTGTTACTAGTTATTAATGACTTGTGTGACAAGTGTTACTTGTTATTAATGATTTCTCCAAGGGTGACTAATTTTTTTGTTCGGTGTGCTTATATGTACACATTAAGAAATATTTTAAAAGTTTTAGAACTGAAATATTTTTGTGCTTTCAATTTTTTTAAACATTTTAAGGGAGTAAATTTTGTCCATTTTTATGTGTTGATCAAAACTAATGGTGAGTCCCTTGGAATCAAGAGGGAAAATGATCACAAATGCTTGACTTAATATTACATAATAATAATTTAGAGTAAGTTCTTTAAATATACAGTATTAAATTTACAGTAAGTTTACAATTAGTTTTAAGGAACATTTGCTAGAGGATTGACAAAGCCAAACACTAAAAGATTAAATTTTGAAGTGGATAAACATTTTCGAACATCAGTTTTGTTGTCAAAACTTACAGCTTTCTGTCAAACTTCATCAAAATTGAAATTAATTAGTAAATAATCTCTCATCTCTTAATAAGACACATTAAAAAATTCAAATTTCAAGCACCAGTCCTGGAGCCAAATCTAGTCTTGTTATGAATTAGTTCTTGGTGCATTAACATAAGTTAAATATGAATAAAATAACCCTAATTATGGTTTTCGTTGAAGTGAAAACTAAAATGAACTGCTAAAATTGGCTAGTAGGGAAACCTATTTCTTTTTAAAAAAATCTTGTTAGTTTATTTTGGTTTGAAAAGCGCAATCGGAAGCACTAATGCACTTTTTAATAAATGCATGTCCTTTTCCTAATTTATTCATTGTTATTCAATAAATTATGTATCTTTTTTCAAAAAAATGAGCTAAAAGTTGGAAGATATTCTAGTGTGGTTATTTTTAACATCATCTCAGGGGGAAAACAATAATAAATTAGAAAAAAAAATAGAAAAAATAGAATTGATAGAAAAACAGAAACTCTTGGATCTGAAGAAAAATTTGATGTCAGAAACGACTTCAGAAAGGAAATATCATACCTGCCAACTCTTCCGGATTTTCCGGAAGATTTTATTTTCATATTTAAAGTGGTAATAAGTATATACTATTTTTTCTTTTATAAACTCAATTTTTAGATGATTTTGATCACCACTATTCTTACAAAAATTAAGCGCACATATTAATATGCGTTACTATCATGGTTGTCAGCTTAATTTTTTTCAAATACAACGTATTTGTTTGCTTAAAATTGAAGTTTTAATTCCATTTTAATACCACTGGGAAAAATGATAATGGAAGGGATTAAAAGTTGGCAGGTATGAAATATACATCATTTTTTGTTTCATATTTACAGAATTTTACGTACATCATTAGTTTCCCCCCTTTTTTCATGAATTATTTTAAATACAGTCAAAACATGTATCGTTATACAAAAATAAATTTTCATCATTAATATATTACAAATATAATTAATAAATTTCAGTAAAAAAATTTTTTTTCTTATAAAAAAAAATAATAGTGGTGTTTCCACAATGTACACAATATTGAAGCAGAAAACAAGACATACCATCATCATCAACTTCTAAATCTGGATAGAATTTGGGATCGGCACGCAAGACAAAGTAGGACATTGATAATCTTTTCAACCAAACCAATGACGGGCCTTCAATAAAAAGAGCTTTTTCTACAGGATGTTGCTGAATTAGTTTCTGTTGTACAGGACTTTGAGCACTCATAATCCATGTTTTATCATTGGATTCTTCGATCTCCTTAGCCTAATAAATAAATAATATCACAACTCTAAAATAAGAAATGCATATTTTGGTTTAGGTAAAAAAAAATTGAATTTCATTTTCAAATCTCATAGGTAATAAAATAAAAACATTGAATGTTAATGGTGATAAAATGAAATAGAATGCATTTTTTTTTCTTCCAACAGCAGGCATTGTACTTCACATTCTTCGCCTCAGAAGATGACAGAACTGTTGTTCATTTAATGTTACTATGACCACCTATGACCCTAAGCCATCCATACCACACAGCCAAAAATTCGTTCATAGAGTGGGCCACATTCACACATCAGAGGACAACACACAAACATCATGCACTGAGAGGGATTCAAACAGGCAACCATTGGTTTTTGCAGTCAAGCAGACTGACCGCATGGCCACCTGGCTGGCAAAATGTTTTTCTTTTTTTTTAAAATTTCTAGCAGCAGTCCTTGATGTGTCTCATTTGCCGGAGTGTAAAAACACTCCGCACAGACCCATAAGGAATAAGAACAATTAAAAAAAATTTTAAAACATTAAAATATTCAGAATATAAAAATAATTAGAGCAAAGAAACATTAAATAGAATATCAACAATAGAAATATCAAGAGAAAATCAGTCAGTTAGCAGTGCCTGCCACTGTTCCCTAGCATTCCAGTATCTGTCATAGATGTTGCTAGTAACTGCGGGTTAGATCCCCAGATGCTCAGCATTCATTGGGGAGTCCTCCCCGCACAAGACACAATTTGAAAATTGTGAAAGATCATAAGTCTATGGAGGTGAGCATCAAGGCAGTTGTGTCAGGTTTGGCTGGCAGAATGTAAATATAGGGTGACAAGGAATGACATTTTACAGAAGAACTACATTATCCATTTATGTGAACAGAATTTTTTTTACTTAATAAATACAAGTTATTCATTGAAACAGCACAAATTTATTCTTATAAAAGCAGAGTTAGTTAACTTGGTTCCTACTCCCCACAAGTCAGTGCTCCTGTTTTCATGCTTTTATTCAGATTTTTTTGATTGATACTGAACTTAACTTTCAATTTAACTATTTAAACAAAAACAATGAAATAAGAAATGTCTTTAGCATTAATTAAAAAAATATTTATAACATTATTTATTTAACGTAACCTTACCATAAAACCAGAATGAGAGGCTAGATTATGTTTACTACCATTTCTGAAACTTTCCCATAATTGGTTAATGAGCTCTCATCTTAAGAAATCCTCTTATTTATTTTCTCATGTCATAGCAAAAGCACACAAAACAGTTTCTGTCACTCTGTTCTGTCTTAATTCTTTTATTTTCTACTCTCCTTTGTTTGTGGATAGCTTTTAATATGGGCTACTGCTAATTTATTTTTATCTTTAAAATTTTTTGTAGGATATATAAAATGAAATGGTAGATGACAAAATCTTCACTAAAGTGACAACAATGCGAAAGCTCATAAATGCTAAAGCGTTAAACTTAAAGTAGCTTTTCTCCCAGATTGTACAAAGGTTACCAATTATTAAGAAAAATATTAGAAGCTCATTTACAGAAATTTGAACTAAGTTCGATTTTTCCAGCAAGAGAATGCCTTCATTTACGCTGTCAAATCTTCAAATTGGTGGTTTTTGCATAATAGGGTGCATGCATAGAATGACCTCCCCTTTCTTATGATTTCAATCCCTAAGAAAACATGAAGGGCTTACCTCAGTAAGGCTTTATATAGAAAAAAGAAGCAGTTTCAGTAAGTGGTAAAATTGATAACCGCCATCATTGAAACTCAGAATAATTATAATGCCTGAGATTGATAAATGATATACAAGATCACATATTTTAAGTCAGATAAAAAATATGGTGGTAATAATAATAAGTGGCTTCATATTGATGGAACATCTTTTTTATTTAATCAATGTTCTTTCTTTATGCAAGTTAGTTACTCCCTGTAAATGTGTGTTTAGATAAAGACATTTATAATGCACATGTTAATTTTTTATTCAGTCTAATAATGGCGAAAAATCAAAGCGATTTTATTTAGCTGATAGACATTGTATATTGGTTAATTATTTACAGATTGTGGTGGGCAAATGTTTTTTTTAATATCAAATGTATGTAAAAACAAAAATTCTACTACCACTTTAAATAAAGGAGAAAAATCCCCAGGCTAAAAGCCAGATAAGGTGGTTAGTTTGCAGAGGCAACAAAGATTTATAGAATTTGAAGGTTTAGAGTATTATTTGCTTTAAAATACTGAAACACTGTGACAACAATTTAATAAAGTAAATTCCTCACTTTATAAATCTAAATTATAGTGGAACCAGTGGATGGCTAAATAAGATGGTGGGTGGTTAGAAAAAGTTTACTAATACAAATACAAAAGTGGACAATGGATATAAAAAAGTTGACTATTATTAATAAAAGAAGCCTTCCGTCAATGAGAAATTTAAGTTTTGGACAAAATAAATTTTTCAAAAAGAAAGTTGCATCTGATGTATAATTTACTTACATCACATATAATATTCATCAGAATGACATTATTTGAAAAAAGCTGAGATGATTCACTGTTCCCCAATTACAATAAAATATTATATAAAAACTGGGATCCACAATCTTTTTCAAATAACAAGTCAAAGGAAAGAATATCATCTTTGTTGGCAATTTAATTATATAAACCTGTAATAGTAAAAATTTAGATTGTATTTACTCCTATTTAAAAAAAAAAAGTATTATTTTAATGTATAAATTAATTTTTTTAAGCAAAAAGAGATGATGAAAATAAAAACAATAAATATATAAAAGTATTTAATTAAAATAAAACAAATAAAGGTACAAGAAATTTGTGCCGCACATTTATAGGTAAATATTAATAGGGGTGGAAAATAAAAAATTAAATGCTTCAATAACCTTAAAAATACCACTTTTCTATAAACAAAATTTATAACTAATATAGCATCAGATTAATGTAATATTTAAAAATAGCTTTTGGAAAATTATTTTTTAAATTTCTCTTTTTGGAAATTTCTTTTTATTTCAATTGTACAAATTTGCAATAAATAACATTTTATTCAGTTTTTACTTTATTTATATTTTTGTAAAATTTTAGATATATTTTTTCAAGTTTAGGATTGGTCAGAAGCCAAGTCAAAAAGCTTCAAAAGTCACATTTGGCTCCCAGACCATAAGTTGCACAATGTAACAAAAAAATTAAATTAACAAAATTAAATCTATACAATTAAATACAGAATTTATAATTACTTCATATTCTGTAATCTTTGTTCGGATATCTACAGACATTTTTTTCAGAGCTAATCTGGCAAGTTCTCGAGGATCAGCGGGCATTGGATCAGGCATCAAATATGGATTAATATTTTTAAGTTTAGGCATCCAGTACATCATACGAACTAATTTTTTGTAAACATGTGAGCTTTTTCCAAACACATTCTTAACAATCTCAACCATTTCTCTGTCTGGGCAAACACCTACATTTAAAATAAATAAACATTTTTTAATAGAAGTATAGAAAATTCATTAAAAAATAGACATTACAGAAATAAAAAGTTAACCTTAAATGAAAGTCGAAATTACCAAATAAAATATGGTTTAGCTTTTTTTTAAAAAAAAGACAGTAAACTTTATCCTGACAGGATAAATTAATTAATGTAAATGATTATAGAATAAATGATTTAATTAGACAGCAATAAAATATGATAAACTTTTCTTCTCTATCCTTATATTTACAATTAATTGCAATAAATGCACATATTTGACATACATTAATCCACAAATTAATATATGCATTTAGATTCCTTGTCATAAAGAAACTATAAAAAATATATACATTTGGGAACACATTTATACAACAATAAATTTATAAAACAAATCACAATTGGAGAATATGATTGGAAAAAACATCAAAAACCTTATGGTTGATAGTTAATATTTTATATTGTTACTAATTACTTCTTAGGTAGTCTTTTTCGTGTGCATTGCATAGAAAAAGAGTGTTACATTATATTTCAAAACCCTTGAAACGGTCTTATTAATTAATGAAGAAAAAGGAGTGCAAGTTCTAGAAAAAAAATATTAACTCCCCGCAAATGGAATAAAATCTAAACAAGCATTTTTTAAAAATTTTGATTAAATTTTAAGTATACATAATGTTCATATTATACTATATTTATTTGCAATAAAAATTAAAACAAATAACCCTTCCAATAAAAATGTAATTAAACTTTTTAAATAAATATTCTAACAATAAATTTTCTAACAATAGATATAAACTAAATTAGCAAACTAAGTCTAAAAAGCCCTCATTTATCAACAAAAAAATAATTATATTTCATATTAATAATCATAAAAAAAATAAATATATTAGTTAAAAAAGCAAGCCAAATGAACTAATCTATTACAAACTACAACTTAAAAAATTTAGTATCAATTGAAAAAGTTCGGAAATACCAATATATAATTATGTTGACGATGATGTATAATATGAATATAATCACTAGAACTTTTACTTTTAAACAGGTTCAAGTTTTAAAACTATAGTAATAAAGTAAGTCAGAGAAAAAGCAAAAATTACTGTAAGTGGGCATAAAAATAATTATAATTAGTTGAATTATGCATAAAATTTAAATAGTAAATCAATTTAAATTGATAAATTTGTATATCTATCAAGATTTATAAACTTATTTTAAGAGATTTTAAATTTACAGTTACATATGGATTAGTTATGACTCAATCGATGAGAAATGTTCAAAATAAAGTTAATCTACTTAAAACTGCTATTTTATTCTTCTAATACATTAAATAACATTTTTAATCAATCATTTATCAAAGCATATAATATTTAAAAAGCATTTTCAATAGTGTGCAATATCAACAAAACTAGAAATTTTTTTCTTAGCTGTAAAATATTTTTGAGTTCTCAGCTTCTCTTTACTGGAATATTATCACAATTTTTTGTTTTTATATTAAAGTCAAGAAATAATATATTAATATCTCTGACATAAAATAATTTTTGATCAAGTGAGTAATATAAAATCGCTAAGAAATGAGAAAACTGTTCGACCATTAAAAAGATTTTGAAAACAAATTATAGAAACAATCTAGGCCATAAAAAATTAAGATACTAAGGCAAAAACATGAGATAGGTTTTGGAACACCTTTTAACTTAATGTAATTAATTTCGAAGTTACATTTTTTATTATCTATAGCAAAATATAAGAAAATTTAAATTCCAAGTTAATTACACTTAGTATGACTGAAAAAATGATTAGATGAGTTAGAATTTCAACTATTTAAAGGAGCAACATCAAGTATACACAACAACAAAAAAGCTTTTTATGGAAAAAATATAACAAATAAGCAATACAAGCACAATTAGGCATGGTTCATACTGAATTTCTGAAAGAAAAAAAATTCCATGAGTATTCCACAAGCATAATAATACACTCAGCACAATTTATAAATTAAGAAAACATTAGATTTGTAATTGGTAGACAAATAATAAAAAGAAAATTTAAATTGAATATGCAACAAAATCCCGAACTCTCCAACTATTACATTTTTATTTACATTATTCAATATCATGTTATATCCCACTTATACACATACAAATTGAACTTTTAAGCTTAAATACTTCCCCTAAACTTATAAAAAAATTTTTTAACAAAAATATCTCATAATTTAACAGTTAAAAAACATGAAAAATTAAAGTATGCTATCTTTAGTTCATAAAGTATCAATCAATCTTCATTAAAATCATAATTGTATTGTAAAAAGTTTTCAAACATTAAAAGAAATAGATTTTAACAAGTTACAATAAAAGCTTCCAGATTGTTGTGATTCATTGTTTTTTAAAATGCAGTTGTTAATAACTAGATGAATTTATAGCATTTCTTGTAAGGGAACTGAGGATTGAGTTTAGTACAAGAATGTAATTTCTTCAACTTATCAATAAAAAAGTGCAATATGACACAATAAAAAATATTAGTGAAACGAAACATCACAATTTATCGAAATATTGCGATGTTAGAGTGGCGATACATAGTGATGCCAAAATCTTAACATCGGCCAGTGCTAATATATAGATTTTATATATATAGATTTTCTCTATATTTTTAACTTATTTTATGATTTTTCATATTCTTGCAGCTTATGCACAGTAAATAAAACTTTTTAATTTTCAATTTTCTCTCTTATCTTTTTGTGTTTATTGTGCTATATGTATTCTTAAAAAAAAAGGCTCGTAATTTTAATTTTTCCAGGTAGTTATAGTTTTGTGTTGGTTTTTAGAAAAAGTATTCCTATTTTCTAAATCTTTTTAGCTTATTTTAATTACCCTGTATTTTCCAGCTTCTCAGTTAGGCATAATAAATCCCATATAAATCAACATAAAAAACAGGAAGATTTCATGTGAAAATTTCAATAAAATAAAAAAAATATTTAAATTACCATAATATTCCATTTGATCTAAAAGAACAATGGCACAATCTTGTTGTCTTGGATAATGAAAGAACTCAGCTTGAATAAGATTTCTTGGAAGCATTTTTCCTTTTGGAAACACATCCATCAATTTTTTGTATGATTCTAGATCAAAATTAACTCCGTAAACTTCCATGCATTTCAAGGCAGCGTAAATAAATTCAACATGGCCTCTTCTAAGTTTATCAGGAGTATCGAAGGTTTTCATGACTTTTAAGAACGTTTCTTTATCTTTTGATTTAATTTCTCTAAAATAATGTTCTCTAGAGGCCAAATCTTTTTGGGATACTTCCATTTCATGTTTTTTACAATGCACTTTTGCAGATGTGTGTAATGATGGAACTTGAAGAAATTTTGTCTTATTTAGTAAACTAACACATTGAGGTGATGATAAATGTGTCTTTCCAATATTGTACACTTCTTGAAAAAAGTAGTGAGATATATTCATCAATCTTGGTTGCAGAAGAGAATGTCGCAGCATCTTCATTAAAACAATACTGAAAAGAAATTAATATTTATATAAATTTAAAAATAATTACATTTTTTCCCTTAAAGATTATGATGTAGATTTAGTTTTAAATTACAGTATTGGTACACTAAGCAATATAAGAAGTGTAGTAAAAATCCTTTTTAAGATATAATATAATTCATTCAAATTTATAAGCATTTGAAACTACATTGAAAACATCAACATTTAAAAATATGACGAAAATGGGAATCAGAACAAAAGCATAAAAAAAACATACTTAATATATATTATATAATATTAATAAAAAATTTAAGTAAATGAAGACGCATAGAATTAAGTCTTCATTAGTAGCATATCTGCAAAACACAAAAGTATTTTAGCAAAGAAAGTTTTAAAATGTAAACTAATTAATTACATTAAAAAACTAAATGGCAAATAATTTAAGACTTTATATTTTGCAGTAGGTAGCATTTGAATTAGATAATAGTAAAATGCTCCCAAAAAATATTATGAAAAGAAAAAAAAAATATTTAGAGAAACTTGCTTTAAGACAAAGGTTGTATAATTTAGTATTTTTCATAAATTAAAATTTGTTATAACACNTTTTGCAGTAGGTAGCATTTGAATTAGATAATAGTAAAATGCTTCCAAAAAATATTGTGAAAAGAAAAAAAAAATATTTAGAGAAACTTGCTTTAAGACAAAGGTTGTACCTATAATTTAGTATACAACCTTTTTTCAACCTTCAATGAATATTATTGTATTCATTGAAAATTGACAATAATTTTAATAATAATGGCTTCTAAAATGAATTATGTACTATAAACTGAATGAAATTTTAAGAGAAATTTATGATATTGAAGAAAAAGTATATGATAATGAAGTAAAGATATATGATAATGAAGAAAAAGTTAATTAGAATGAAGAAAAAGAATTGATTACTTGAGGCGATTTGAGATCTATTTAGATATAATAATGTAAGTTATACTTAGAATCTGCCTCATACAGAAATTACGATACTAAATTATTATATTTAATCTGGGATGCAGAATATGTCTGATTGCAAGAAAAAGGTAATGGTGAAATCCAGGCATCCTTAGGGAAATTTTTTGGTCTAAAATGCTAAAAAAAACTTTAATTCCTTATGTCATACTAATTTTCTAAAAAAAAAAAAGGAAATATTTTCTGCTATGTTAAATATAACACAAATAACTTCGTGTCAGTTTAAAATTTCAAGTTTATAAGTTGGACTTTAAACTTAATTTCATAAATTATTACAATTTCAATAATGGATGTTTTGATCTCTCTGTTATTTTTAACACATTTGCTAGTTCATTTAAGAATTGCGCGGATTCAAGTTAAATAATGAGGAAAATGCTAATAAAATACAGATTTAACTTCCTATGAATATTTTGAAAAAATAACGTAAAAAAAAAAGACTTAAAATTTTGGCAGAAATTTCGAACCAAAAAATTTTTGTGCTTGGGAAATGTTAAAGTATTAGGCTCTAAGAATTTCCTGCACTCTTGTATTTAATATATTTCTGTACAATGCAGAATGGAAAAAAATAAAGAAAATAAACTTCCCCGTAAGGGGAAAAATTATTATTATTTTTTTAACCACTTCAAACTAAAAAATTTTTTCGAATTCTCGACCCAAAAAAACATTTTTTTTCATTGCTGAAAATTAATATATGTTCCATCCTAAATATGAAAAAGCAAAAAAATTTTTGTCAGCAGGCAGTTTCTTGCTTGATTTATTAGTAGTAAAATATGCTATGTGATGCAAGTTAAATCATTTGAAATAAATAAAGGAGCTAACTTAAAAGAAAAATTTAGAATCTAGAAGAGTCTAGAATTTAGAAGAAAATCTTTAAAGTACTTACATGATGGAAAGGAAATGAAAATGTGTTGAGCCAGATGGAACACACAAACTTATTTATAAGAATCAATAAGTTAAGATATCTGACTCACTGAATCTTTTCCAAGCTGCTTCCTTATTTTTGGTAAACCTGCAAAATTGGTAGGATGAAGGCATTAATACAGAAAGTAAGAAAATAATTGATCACAATAAAATTTTTTCATTATTACCGACATTTAATAATTATTTTAATAATAGTATTAAACACAAATCATTATCTTCATCATTTTGCCACAAAAAGCTCTTTTTCTCCATCTTGAGCAAATTATTGCCTCAACATTAGTTACAATTCGAAAAGTTCCGTTGCGGCGTCGCAAAGCCTTCTTAAGGTTTAAATGAAAAGTTAAACAACTACTGCAGAAACGGCTAACATATTTAGTTATTAAAGAATTTGAAAAAAGTAAATTCTCTCTATTTATCGTAGACAAATGTGGCAGATCACTGCATTATTTCCACTTTAAAACTTCGTTGCACGCAGTATTTGGATTCACTTTATTTGGTCATTTACCTACATAGGATAGATCCAGTCTCTGGCTCAGCGTCACATAAAGAACAGCACACAGCATGGAATTGCGATGAGAATTGTCCAAAACTTGTTTAACTCAATAGAAGATAATTGTGTCAGATGATGGATTACCCCCATTACCTCCACTATAATTTAACAATTTATGATATTCTGACATGAAAAACAAAGGGCAAGAATAATTGATGTCAGAAAAAAAAAACTGACACATTTTTATATTTACTGGAATCCTCCGCAACTTATTTTACAAGAAACATTTATAATACAGAAACAAATACAAGAAACACATTATAAATATTTCAAAGTTTTCAGCAAATAAATATAAGCAAAGATTATCTAAAGTACATGGTTGAACAATGTAGCAAGTTCATGCATGCATTCAACTTTTTATTTATACCTCTTACATAACTTTTTGTTGTTTCTATTTAAGCAGAAATATGGATCATTGTATAGGATATTTATTCATAAAAATATATCTAAGCAAATCCTTAGACTATTTATTTAATACTTTATAGTATAGTTTCTCAAGTTCTTGAGCGAAAAGGAGGCTTTAGTTTATTTACATTTTGAAAGTAGGTAAGGGCAAATTTCTGCTTCAATTTAGAATCACGCATAACAACACAGTATTAAGTTCAATTGGATGACACAGTTAACACCTAAATTATTCGGGTCTCTATCTTTTAGTTGATGTAGCAAAAATAGTCATACAGAAGCTCATTTATGAATTACTGACTCCAAAAGCGAGATAGTAAATAAATAATAAACTTCCAATTGCAAATTTATAAAAAATCTCCTCTATGATAGAAATATAGGCTATTGACGACTAGCAAAAAATTCAGTTTGATTTGTTTATTATGTCTGCTGGTAATGTATAAATTTTAAAGAAACCTTGCGCACCGTTTTAAATTTCCTAACTCATTAGAGGTCAAATTTTCGTTAGTTTGAATGTTGAGATACTCCTTATTTACGGGTGTTTAACTTAATATTCTGTGTTCTTTTTAGCTTATAAATGATTGAGAAGAAATTTTTGAACTAAGCATATTAATTTGTGAAATTATTCTCAGTTTATTTTTATAAGTTTGTATGTCGACACATTCATTGTGTACAAGCTTTTAACTGTACTTTTTAAGTTTTTATTAGAATAATGATTGAGAAGAATTTTGTGAAATGTATATTAATTCGCGTGCCAACCCTTTAAGCCCCATTAATGTGCACTCTATGTAAAACTGAGCCACCATCACGTAAAACATTGCCTTTTTATTCTTATTCCATTTTGAGAAATAATAATTAAAATGATAATTTTACCAATTAATTAATAATTAATTGGTAAAATTATATGTTTTTACAGGTTTAATTCTGATTACTATTACAAATATTTACTCTTGTCAGGATTATTCTCAATTCGTTACATTTTATAAGTACATCTCTTTTTGAATGGGGGATATTAATAATTTTTTTAATGATTAGAAATTATTTATAAATAAAAACTTTTTTTAAATTTTTTTTTATAAAGAAAGGTCTTTTTTAAAATGCTCACCTTCCTATAATTTTCAGTTTAAATAATTGCAAAAGTTTTCAATTTGTTTATCAATTAATTATTTCTTTATTTTATTTTTATTTTATTTTTTTACCTGCCTTTAATTATTTTTATAAACTACAAGAACAAGTTTTTCTCTTGTTTTGATAACGAGAGAGAATTATTATTTTTAAATATATGCATAAAATAGTATTAGAGGGTAATTTAAGAGTAGTTAAAGATCGAATTCAGTTATTATATAATATTACACATTTTAATAAATTTTTATGGTAAAATGTTTCCAATTTTCCTGTAAGTTCTCTTTCAAAACTCTAAGTGTCCTTTTTTAAAAGGTAGTGACCTTTTTTTTTATTTCTATGGAAAACTATGATATTAATGCAATTACATTAATTAACCATAAAGATTAGTTAATAAAAGTTTAAGTGTCTGTAATTGCAAGATTACAATTTCATTAAGCGTGTTCTACTTTTGTAATGTGATTAAATCAAAATGCTGATCAAATTTTTACTCCATATTCTTCACATCTGTAACCAATATCATACAAGACACTAAAAATAAAAATCACAAAAAGAGTTAAACCAGATGGTTAAAATTGGTAGCCAGTTCTTTGCTTTGAGTAATTTGCTTTATATCTAGATCTTTATGGCAAATTAAAAAAATGAGGTAGTATTACCTTGATTGCAATTGTCACGATCAGCATCATAGGAATGTCATAAAAATTTTAAGGTTGCTTAAATTCATGTTTGGCTTTGGTGCACATGACAGCATTTTGATGGTAGATTTCATGATCAACAAATGTCTGACTTTATTACCAGTATATAAGTCGACACCCTGATTTTCGTAAAATTTTGGTGGTTCAAAAAGTCAACTTATATGCAGTATTTCGTTTTTATATTGTTCATTATTATTTTAATTTATCGATAATTTTATCTTAGAAATTCAATTGCCATGAAAATCATGTGTGGCACAACAAAGCCGCTTGTATAATGTGGTAGTAGTTTTACTAGTGAAAAGTGTTCATAAAGTGTTTTTTATTTTCTATATTCAAAAGATAATATTTAGAATAGGGAGGCACAACTTTATGACTGCATGTTGTGCACTAAGAAATTTTTCTCAGTTTAAGACAGTAAAACCCACGTGTCCTGTCCAAAACCAGTTTAGGACATCCAAAATCCCAACCCTGCCTTAACTGCTACACACTGCTAAGTTAAGGTGACTCAAACTATAAGTAGATGGCATTTCTGATTGAAATATAAATAAAAAATTACTTCTTGTTTCTGAGCTCAACTGAATGAGACCATCATAAATCATATGCCTATCTGAATTAACTGTCACTTTAACCTAGAACTGTGTAATAGCTAATACATTTACAATAAACGTAGAAAAATTTCTTCCCACTTTCTGAAATCAAATAATACTGTCAGAACCAATATTTAATTATTCTTTTTATGTTTTTGAGTATGAACCATCTTTTTTGTGTCTAACAATTATTATTTGTCTGGCATTTGGTTTAAAAGTTGTCTTTTGACGTCTATCCTAATTGATTAAATAATTAAAGAAAACATTCTCATAACTACTCATAATTTATTTTATATTGAAACTTTAATTCAGTTTATATTTTACAGTGGTTGGGCTGCTCAGACGAGGTTTACATGAAGTACCTCATTTGGTAATAGGAGGAGGAATATTTGCTTTTGGTAATTAATATTTGAAAGATCTTATTTTGATATGATATAATGCGTGAAATATTGTTTCAAAATTTAATATTGTAATTTTTATATGTAGTATGCAACTGTATTTAACTATTATTTCTCACAAATAGTATGAAGCTGTGATTAATTTCAATTTGAAATTGAATGTTATAACAATAATAATTAATTTAAAAAATATTTTTTTAAATTAAATATTGAATTTTTTTTATATAATATGCAGCTGTATTTAACAATTATTTGTCTGAAATAGTAATGTTTATTTTATCTTTTGATCGCTTTCAATTTAAAATTAAATGATAATATAATAATACTTTAATATTATTAATTAATGTATAAAATATTGTTTTGAAATATGATATTGTATTTTTTTTATGTAGTATGCAACTGTATTTAAGAATTATTTATCTCAAATAGTAGGGTTTAATTTATCATTTGATGTTTAATTTATCAATTTAAAATTAAATGTCCTTATAAAGGTTTTAAAGCATTGAGATTGTTTATTTATACCTCGACCCGCCCTATTCAGGGCACACGAGAGTAGAACAAACATTCTACAGACAAAACATACATAAAACACATAAAACACAAAAAATTACATTAGCAACAAGTATAAATGACATATAAGGAATAAATTAAATTATGAAAATATTTACACTATAAAATACAGAGGCATAGTAAAATGCCTTAAACAAAAGCATAGAAAATAATTTTAACGTAACTTTAAACTAAAGCACAGAAGTTAAAATGCATTTTAACTCTAAAATTAAGTATAAGAGAATGAATATCATTAATTGAAGCAAAATATTAGAATCACAAAGAAGTTTAAGATACAAAAGGTTCAAAAGTCATGGATAACCTGAGAGTTTGACTAAAACAAATATTGTAAGATGAGTTGATAGAGTTTGTTGACACGGGGTGACAGCTAGGTTACAGTGTTAATTGAATCTGGTGGATTTAACATGTCCTCAAGTGTAGTTTTGATGATTTCTTTAATAATTCTTCTGCAGGTAAAGTTTGAGAATAGCTGATGTTCCGTTTTGTCCTAGAGTTCCGTGCCACGCTGTGCATGAAATTTTGGGCAGTGGCAAATCAAGTGTATTATACCTTGTTGAGAGTCACAATAAGAACAAATTGAGGATTTTCTAAAAAATCTTGATCGATGGGTGCCAAATACTCCGTGGCCGGTTAAAAATTGATTGATTAAAGCATTGAGATGTAAAATATTTCTGTAATTTCATTTTTTGTAAATGTTACTGTTGAATACCCACTGTTTGTTTTAAAAAAATTAATGTTGATTTTCGCAATGGCTATTAGTCACATGAAAACTGCATGACTATTTTCATTGAGAGTGAAATTTTTTATTCTTATTTAAAATTTGTTCTTGTCAACAATATGCTTACAATTTGTGATCATAAATTGATCTTGATAAATTATAAGGTGTTTAATTTTCAAAAAAGTTCATTTCAAAATTAAAGACCTTATTTTTTTGTGGCCGATATCAAAAAAAGAAAATCTTGTAAACTAATTCATCATTTAAAATTAGCCCCTGTCAACGAAATCAGGGAGCCCAAGGTGTTTAAGTTTCAAAATAAATTTATAAATTTAACTTTTAATTTGAAAATTTTAAAAGCTAATCATTTATGAGCATAGCATATTTTTCTTAAATCTGCAATCTTTTTAAAATTCTTCTTGATTTTAGGAATCACATGTAATTATTTTTTATCTATATTCTCTATGTATTATTTGATTTGATAGCTGAGTGAAAACTATTTTAATTTGAAAAATTTAGAAGTTATTTAATTTGGGACATTTTGTATTTTCCTTGAAACTGTAATTTTTCTTAAAATTCTCCTTAATTTTAGGAATTGCATGTAATTATTATTTTATTTATATTCTCTGTGTATTATCTATGTATTATAGATAGCTGAGTGACAACTAATTTAATTTCAAACACTTTAAAGCTATTTACTTCTTTGGGAACATTTTGAATTTTCTTTAAAATCTGCAACTCTTCTTATAATTGTGCTTAATTTCAGGAGCTGCTTTGAATTATTATGCTATATATATTCATGTAAAATATGACAAAGAAAAAAGACATTGGAAACGCAGATATGTTGGTAAGAAAATTTTCTATTTTTGTATAAATTTATTGTTAATAGTATGGAGTTTCTTTCTTTGAGGATTTGTTGATGCATATATATATATTTTTTTTTCATTGGCATGACAGCCCTTTGTGAGCCTGGGCCTTCCTCAAAAGCTTTTCTCATTCTGCCCTTCTCTCAGCAATTGTTTTCCAGTTCTTTTCCTTTAGGATGGCAAAATCCTCATCCACATGGTCTTTCCATCTGAT